CCGCACATCACCAACCCAATTCATCAAACCAACAAATTCAATCCAATTTGATGTTATGAGTACAAATCAATTTCACATTTAAAAGTTAAACATAAGAAATATTTGTGACGTCGACCATAAATTTGTGGAGAAGGGCTTGGAAGTCTTCCTCCCTTATTGGCTTAATTATTTTGTTTTTCATTTATTAAATTGAAAAACAAAATATATTTTTGCCCAAGCAAATTCTCCAACTTGACAAAGAGTAACCACTTCCCTCATTCCATGTTTTCGAGCAAATATTCAATGCANAAAATATATTTTTGCCCAAGCAAATTCTCCAACTTGACAAAGAGTAACCACTTCCCTCATTCCATGTTTTCGAGCAAATATTCAATGCAATGATAAGATTCAAGTCATCAGTGACATCCAATATGACCGGTCGATTATAAACCAACACTTATTCAATAATTATCACATTGAATGAAATGAGATTTACGGATTCTATGTGATGTTTATATTTAGTTGGCGATAACATATGATTGTGATATCGCTATAGTATTGAATATCTACTCGATGTTGTCCATCTATTCACTTTTCATTTTAATTCTTAAAGCAAATTACTTATAATCAATTTTCACTTGTTATTTATACCTATTCAGCCACTAATAAATAGTTTCCAAAAGGAGTCGAGTAAATATCAGTTGATTGAATGTAGGTGTGGAATGGGAAGATTACAAGATGGGAAAAAAAGGAGAGAGTATAAGGTGGCGTTTAAGACAACTTATGAAATATATAAAAAGATTTATCAAGTACTTAAGCAAAGTACTTTATGCGGAAAAAAAATAAATACCCTTTAGATATTTTTGAAGCAAAAAAAAAAACAAAAAGAATAATTAATAATATATCACCTAATATCAGCAGTTACACCTTTATACATACATAAATATAAGCGTGCACGAGCACGCACACACTCACACTGACACTCACACACAGAGAGATTATGTTGTTCGTGGAGTTATTGGTAATGACGACAACGATGGTGGCGGCCAAGGACGAAGTTAAAAAATCTTCTTTGGGTGGATACTTTAACAAGTTTTATTTTTTTCTTACGAATTGATAGAAGTGCGATGATTCATTTATATTGCAAAATTCAATAAATGCGAAATGACCAAAAATTGATATACATCGTCTACGCAGAAAAAAACAACAATAGGACTAATTATAATTTTTATGAAAAAAATAAACTCTAAAAAACCATTTAAAATTGGCCTCGATTAAGTTTCATACTTTAAAAGCATTTATTGGCCTCTAACTATGCAAAAATTGAGCTTACGGTACACAAGGAAGAACTTGCCCCCAAGATTTGATACATGAGATTTAACCTAAAAAGGCGCTTTATTGGAAAGGGATTGCTCCGATGGCAACCCTATTCTATCTATCTATATATATATATATATATATATATATATATATATATATATATATATATATGACTTCTCTTATGTCGAGGATCATCTTAGATTCATCTTTCTTAGTCTTTTACACTATTTTTCTTAACTTCCAGAGATCTACAATCTCTTATGAGTAGTTCTATTTGTACTCTTTAGCCTAGTGTTATGAATTTGAGATTGTTTATTTAAATATTATGTTTATGCAATTATTTTTCTTGAATTTAGTGTAAAATCTTTGTTTTTTCAAGATTGATTAAATGTTTTAGCAAAGTTTTATATTTTGTATAATTCTTCCTATTTTACATCAATCAAAATAATTGTGAGTCAAATTCAATATCTTTCGGTTGATTATATTG